CCCCGGAGAAGGGCGGCCGGGGCGCCGGGGGCGGCCCGGAGCGCGGCGGGCGCGTACCTCCCTTTCAGGACCGTGCGCCGGCTCGCGCCTTTGAAGTGCACAGTGAAATCCACGGCGCAGTTTTTGTTGGAAGCGCCCGGAGGACGTTGGGTGCCCGGAGTGGTTGCTGGAAGCGGGGCCCGTGTCGAAAGCCGGGCCGGGCGGGGGCCGGAGGGGCCGAGGGCGGCCGCGGCTCTGGTAATTTTTAGGATAGAAAAAAAGCTTGCAGGGGACATTCAAACCTGATACGTATTAATATCCCACATTTAATGCTGGGAGAACTAGAAAGACAAAGCCATAGGGATGGTGCAGTCTTCACATATTCCTGCTGCCTCTCCTGGAGAACCCAGGCAACACATATCTAGTTCTGTGATGTCCAGTTTGGTAATTGGACTTCTCGTGGCAGATAAAAATAGACTGTGTATTTTTATAAAACAGAAATTTGGTAGCAGTCGAAAATGTTTTTAACATGAGAATATTCTGGGTTTTAGTCTCCATCTGTGTCTGTCAACTGAAAAGGAAGATTTGGTTTTGTTTTGACTATTGTTTTAAATAAGGATCAGGCACTAGAATGATTCATAGCAACAATTTCTTTGAATTGTCATATAAAACTGGTAACTTGTATATCTAAGTCTGAATTTTTCTTCCTAGTATTCTTTTCTTTTTTTGTATTTTATTTTATTTTATTTATACAGCAGTTTCTTATTATCTATTTTATACATATTAGTGTATATATGTCAGTCCCAATCTCCCAATTCATCCCACCACCGGGGGCCGCGCCGGGGCGGTGCTGGATGGGAGTCGGGGTGCGAGTGTGCGCCGGAGTGCCTCTGGGAGGTGGGATGAAAGGGTGGCGGCGCCCCCCGCCCCCTCCCGCCTCTCTCTCCTCCCCTCCCGTCCTCCCCTCCCAGACACGGTCCGCGCAGAGGGGCCCCGAGCGCCGGCCAAGGCTCAGTCTGCGCGACCGAGCGGCCCGAGCCCGGGGCGCCCGCGTCCCCCGCGTCTCTCCTGCCGCCCGGCCCCGCGCCCCCGGCCGCCCCGGCCCCTCGTGCGGAGAGGCCGAGCCTCCGCGCGTCGCCATTGCTGGACCAGCTGCCGCTTTCCGCGCTTCTCCTGCGGGCGCCTCCGACCCGAGCTCGGGGGCTGCGAGCGCCCACCGGGGCTCTGGACGTGTCGGGGTGGATTGGGGCCGGGGGGCGGGCCGGGGGGGCTCGGCGGAGATGAGAGCCGGGCCTCGGGCCGCCTTGGTCTTCCAGGTAACGGGGCCGCCCCACCTCCTCTCCGCCCGGGGAACGCGGCGCTACCGGCGGCCTGAGGCCCCGCACGGGGGCCACGCGCGCCCACCCGGAGGCCAGGGTTCCCGCCCCCGGTTCGGGGTCGCGCCCCCCGCCCCGCCCCTGCCCTTTCCCGAGTTTGATCCTCCCCTTGCTGGGGAAAGCGGCTGGTTTACTGGTTAGATAAGACTTTTTGCTTTTGGGAAAAAGCGGCTTGAGGTCAGCCGAGTCTGGGATTTCTGGCACAGGCAGTGTTAGCGTGAGACGGTCTCTGATCCGGTTTTGTAGGGTTTGCGGCTCCAGGAGGCGGGGGGCGCGGGGGCGACGGGTCGTGAGGCTTCTCTGCTCCCTGGCAAAGTTGGAAGATCAAAGCCTTGTCAGAGTGAGTGGATCTCTGGTTTGGGGGAGCCCGGAAGACCGAGGTGTAGACTGAGCCGGATTCTTGGCGGGAGGTGGGGGTGCAGCGAACGCTTCCATCTGGGTTGCGGGGCGGGGGCTGCAGCCGGGAGTCCGGGCGCCCGTTCCGCCCTGTGCTGGGCGGGCTTTCCTCCTCGGTCGAGGCTCTTCTGAATTTTTAAGGAGTGGTGGGGGGGCGC